TTGTTCTAAAAACGCCACGAGAGGTATAAAATTACCGACGTCTGTTCAAAAAATGTCACGAAAATGCCACTATTAACCCATTTTGTTGTTGCTCAATGTGGCTTTCATGTTGGAAATATTGACTGCAAAATCACACTGTTAGCACTGACTAGAAAAATAAATAATAATAAAATAAACGTTGAAATCGTGTCGTGGTAAAACCATTGTCTTACAAACGAATTCGCACCAACGTGTGTAATTGTTCCAATAGGTGAATCGTCCCCCGAGGTTAACACGGTCGCTCCGAGATTTCGTACACCCGAAATTGGAGTGGATTGTCTGTGGTATTTTACTTATTGATCGGAAAGAAGAGAATAACTTATAACACTTTGAGAGTGAATTGTGAGTTGTGGAGTGAGTTGAGAAGCTAAATAAAAGTTCTCTATTTATAGGCTTGTAATAGGGGTAAAAGTGTCCAACGAAAAATCAGATTAACATATGATTTAATTTTGGAATTAAAACCCCTATTAACAGTTGAATTACTGACGAACCTAGCTCCAAATCAGTCTAGGTTTATTGCATCAATACTCAGCCGTTTGTAACTCCTAAAATTAAATCATGTAACTCCTGAAAATAAATAGTCTCACCTTTTAACAAAGCTGCAAATCAGTCCACAACAGCCTATAAATATCATACTGAAATCTTTCACATATTCCATTTGTTCTTTCAGAGAGAAATTCCTCACAAATTTTCTCTAAAAAGATAGTATTCGAGCAGACATGTCCATGACTACAACCATGAGCACAAGCCAAGATAGACAACAACAATATCAGTGCACGAGAGTCTCTATGTTCTCTATCACTCAACAAGGGTGGGGAGAATGCAAGCCTTAAATACCTAGTTTCAATTGTATTTCATATACTATGTGAGATTGAGTATTACCAACATCCCAACTGGAAGGCATTTTCAATCATTGGCGTGTAAGAAAGTAGTTATCGCATTAAAAAAATCATTTCTACGGAACTGTCGTGATGATTGATTTTAAGCGGCTTAAGAAGCTCATATGCACGTAATTCTGTCATTAGCGTAGACTGGAGATGCGAATTATAATCGTTGGGAAGAGTTGCATCCTCTACTCCTTCGACTATTTAAGGGGAAAGTTAGGCAAAATCCATAGTTTTATTTTCTTTTACATTTTATTTCCAATATGTCATAATTTTTTTCTACGAAATTTCTGTAGAATGTCGTTTTTTTCCTTAAAAAATTATTTTTGATACGATGAATAAAATAGTAGCGACAAGAGTAGAGAGGAACCAGTCGCTTCTGGTGATTGCAATGAGGTTGTAGGTGGGGATCAAAAGTGTTGTACCTCATTCGGATCTCTTATGTATAATGTGTCTTCACTGTTACTCCTCCGCCTGTCGAAGTCTCCAAAGTTCCTTGAAACCTATGAAGTTCCATATCCTCCAGTTTGCTACAATCTTTTTCACACGATCATTGACAGATCCACATGATATGTCAGAACTAAACCTACTATTTGACAACCATATATGCTCATCTTGCCAGCCTACGAATAGTCATATCACTCTAAGCGTAACACTACACTAAGGGCCTAGAGAAATATATATGGAGAGTGGGAGAGGCTATTGTCCCTCCAAATTTTTTTTGTTTAATAGCATTTTAGGTCCTCTTTTAGTTTAAATTTCAGTAAAAATGGATTTTTAACCCCTTCATTTTTTTAGATTAAATACATGATAAGTCATTAGTTTGAACTTAAGTATCTTGTTCCTCCCGATATTTGATCCTAGTTCTGTCATCGAAAATATTGTATATAAACCACCAAGCAAGACAGGAGGAAGGGACACACTCTCCCTTTGAATTTATCTCATGATTCATCATCTTCTTTGGATATCTATTTTTAATCTCCTTTATAAAATCTGACTATGTTTTACTATTCAAATTAAAATAGATAAAACCGTAAAAAAATGGCCACAATCATATTTGTCCATTAAAAAAATCAACTCTCTTGTTTTCCACTTTAGTTCTGAAGTAATACAAAAGAAGTTTGTTTGGAGCATCTTTTTGCCATGTCATTACTCGACAACATCCACAAGTCATAGGGAAAAAAGTAACATGTTTATAAAAGAGAAGGAAAAGTGAAACAACTTGCCGGCCACACAGTTGAGTTGGCCATTTATCCGACATAGACATAGATCATCAAAACCAAGTGAATTTCCTAATTTTCTACATCCGGGTCATTGCTTCCATTACTTTCTTGAATTAGTAAATGTCTCGAGCTTCAAAATCTTACCATTATCGTTATTTTAACGACCATTTAGCAAATTAAAACCCAAGTTGATGATTGAATTAAAACTTTAACTATAATATAAGACATACAATTAAAAATGATAACATATTAAATATTTATCATTTTTAACTTATTTCAATCCTCTAATCTGTCCAAAAATCCGTAAATATGCAATTAGGGGGAAAAAGGCTTACACTTGCAGATTCTATTTGTAAGCAATTGACAATGAATTGCAATAATTTCGCAGCGACTTTCCTGGCTAAAAACAAAGGAAAAACTAAGAAGTAAAGTGGTGGTTGAAATAACACTTCGACAGCAACTATAAGAGAATGTGTTACGGATTGGGTATGAATAAATTAAAATATAGTTAGAAAATTTTCAGATATCGACAGTGCATATATATTATGAAGACGTAGTTACTCGAAACTCAAAACCTCTAAAAAAAAGTCTTTTTTACTATTAAAATCGCTCTATAAAAGAAACTGGGAACTTAGATTTGTTCATTCCCAAAGGGAGTGCAACCAAGTGGCGGATGTCATGATGCGGTTGACTTGGAACCGTCCCTTGATGTTCATATTTTCCATGATCCACCTCCATATATAAACCTAGCATTCTATGAAGATGCACGAGGTTACCAAGAGCGATGGCTAAACTATTTCTAGTTTATAACCTTCAATCTGTTCATTCTTTTCAATAAAATAAAAAACATGAACTAATATTTTCAATATCAATTTTAAGGGTTTATTTGATCACAATTTTTTAAATAAGAACTCGTTTAATCCATGATTCAAACTACATACTTGATTTTTGGGTACATAGCATAATATATATATATATAATTTCATCACTAAAAATATTTAATGTTTATACAAATTAGAAAAAACAAAACTCATTTATCTCGTCTTCCTTCACTAGATTCGCCATCACACCCTTCTTACATTTAAAAGAAAAAGAAGCAAAGACTGAAATAGATATTAAAAACTGAGTCAGTCGACAACAAAGCTTTTTTTTGAATTTTCTTACATTGTGAAGCATAATTAAACAAATAAAACTCCCTACTTTTCTTTACGAAACCAACACGTTCTTACTAATCCAACAGATTAAAGAAATTACATCCTACTAGCCAAAGCCAAGGGGTCCGTACAACCAAAGCACCTTAAGAACACAAATACACAAAATAAAAACGTGTTTGGAACCTTAGAAAATTTGACCGAGAAAAAGATTATTGACTATACAAGAAATGTAGCATATTAAAATAAGATTTATTGCCTGTTAGAACAAGATATTTTATGTAGAGCATATTAAAATGCAATTTATCAATAAATGTTTAGATTGTATTCTTAGTGAGAAAATCTATGTTCAAGTTTTACAAATAATATTACTGAAAAATTATAAATTATAAATATAAACCATAAGATAGACATATAAAATATATAAAAATAGAACACTATTAATGCAATTTGAATACCTATACATATCATATGGAAGCGGACAAGTGGTGAAGCTAGTTTTTTCACAGTAAAAATAATTAAAGTTTTAATTATAAATATATATATATACATATATATTTACTTGGCTAATAAAAAGAAAGAAAATTTCAGACAGAATGCACAGTTTGGGGAGAAAAAAAGAGAGGAGAATCCGTGAATTTGAAGAGATTAATAATAGATTAGGGTTTCAAAAAGACTAAATTGAAGCTACGCCAAGGAAAGGGTTCTTAAAACAAGGAAATGTAATCCCCTCCATTGTCTAAAGTTTTTTTTTTCATTTTCCATATTTCCTTTTAAAAACTTAAGGCAACGACCAACCATGAAGTAAGTCGTTTCCTTAGTTATACTTATAATAAAACTACACAAATCTGTACCCAAAAAAACCAAACCAAACAAAAAAAAAATTGTTAAAGTTTTCATTGCATTGAAAACTTCATCATTTCAGTTCGGGTATGTTCTGCATTGCTTTTGCTCTTACTTTATTTATATATTCTTCCATAGATTCTTTGTTACTATATGAATTTTCAAACCCTAATTTTAATATAATCGCACCACCAATCCTTTCAATCCATCCTACATTCGATACTTGAGCTCTAGGTTTCGTTTTTTCTTAAAAAAATTTATTTTTATTGTCAATCTTGCCGTTGCTTTTAAATATTGTGTTATTGTACTAGATGTTCGTATCCTTCTCCTTACATTAATGGTTACTACTGCCTCGTGGTTCACGATGAACCCTAATTTTGTTTTTTGGTACATATTATAAATTGTTGGAGTAGATATTATTGTAGGGATGACAAGCATACAACTTGATATAAAATTCTTTACTTTATTCCTTTGGAATTGTTTACCTTAATTAGAAGAAACAAAGATGGAAGTAAATATTTTTAATTTGCAAAACATCCCATAATATTATTTATTGGAAATGGAATATTAAGTAAGAAAACAAAGAAATCAACTTTTTTTCCATAGCAGTTGCAATTAATCGAAAAATGTGAGTTTTTTTAAACCCATGTTGTCTGCAACTTTCAACGGGGGGAGAAAAAGGGCTTCAATCAGTACACATGTTTCCTTGATTTGTCGGAAAATCATTACAATAACAGCAATATGCATGCACACAGATTCTCAATTATTGGGTTTCTTTTTTCTGGTAATTATGATAAAGAACAAACATTGAAAAGTAATTGTCTGAATGTTTGGAATATATTAACGTTTCCTTCCAACAACACCGAAAACACACTTTACTCTTTTTTCTTTTCTTTTTGTGTCTTGTAATTCAAGTCTGAATTGGGATTTGCAGAGAGATATATACTGGGATTTGAGAGACAATGAGTCCTTCAATCAACGATTCATTTGCAAAAACAATGGAGGATAAGAAAGAGTACAAGAATGGGATTAATGGCCAAGATGACTTTGATCCAAGTGCAGCCCCTCCTTTTCGTATTGCTGATATCCGAGCTGCCATTCCAAAGCACTGTTGGGTCAAGAATCCATGGAGGTCAATGAGTTATGTCTTCAGGGATGTCATTGTCGTCTTTGCATTGTTAGCAGCTGCGGCTTACTTCGACACCTGGTTCTTTTGGCCTGTCTACTGGGTTGCTCAAGGAACCATGTTTTGGGCTCTCTTTGTTCTCGGACACGATTGGTACTAATCGAGCATCCATTTCCAGTTCTGGGTTTTACATTTTGTTCGTGTCAGTTAATTAACTCTGATTTGTATTGGATTTCGCAGTGGCCATGGAAGCTTCTCTGATGATCCCATTCTTAATAATGTGGTGGGTCATATTTTACATTCTGCAATCCTCGTTCCTTACCACGGATGGTAGGCTCATTACTTAATCGGGTTTAACATTTGAATTTTCCATAGTATATATGCAATTACATCAAACATCATTTGGAAATTTTGTAGGAGAATAAGCCATAAAACTCATCATCAAAACCATGGGAATGTTGAAAAGGATGAGTCTTGGGTTCCGGTAATGTATCTAATTGAGTTCACTCGGTTCATGCAATCCTCTTCCAATATGTATTAGATTTAACTGCCCTCTTCTTTTTCTTTTTTCATTCTCAGATGCCTGAGAAGGTTTACAAGGATTTGGGGATCAGAACAAAACTTCTGAGATTCACTATCCCTTTCCCTCTATTTGCATACCCTATGTATTTGGTGTGACACCTTCGCTTTTTTTCTTTTATAAAGACCTAAATCTAAACTTATGTACACGCAAACCTTTGTTTAGATTGAAGTAGATGATAATGCAATTGTTCCTACAATCAAAGTGAAGTAATTAAATTTGGTGCATTATTACAGTGGTACAGAAGTCCAGGAAAGACAGGATCTCACTTCAACCCCTACAGCAGCTTGTTTTCTCCACAAGACAGGAAACAAATAATGACTTCAACAGCCTGTTGGATTGCAATGGTCGGTTTCCTTGTCTATTTATCCTTTGAATTGGGTTCAGCCATGACATTCAAGCTCTACGGTGTTCCCTACTTGGTATGCCCCCAGTTTTACAAAAAAAATGCAGAATTTCTCTGGTAATAACCAAGTAATTTAACGCGATGTTTACTCATTTCCATAGATTTTCGTCGTATGGCTGGATTTAGTTACTTACCTTCATCACCATGGATATGAGCGGAAACTTCCTTGGTATCGTGGCAAGGTAATTAACTAAAACTCCATCGATCGAGAATCGTTTTACGTGTCTGTTTTACGGTCCATGTTCAAAATCCGTGACACTTCGAATTTCACTCGTAAATTCGTGTTGTAACTTTCAGGAATGGAGTTACCTGAGGGGAGGGCTTACAACAGTTGACCGTGATTACGGTGTATTCAACAGTATCCAGCATGACATTGGCACCCATGTCATTCATCATCTCTTCCCTCAGATCCCCCATTATCACTTAGTTGAAGCTGTAAGTATTCTTACTTTTTTTTCTTGGGTTAATTCCAACAAGCACCCTCAAACTTTAACTCTAAATTAGTATCCAAATTTTAAAAGATTTTATTGAGTCATCGAAGTATTAGTGATGCATCAGTTGGGTCTTTTTATCAACTTAACTGTCAATGCAGCAGTAGCCAGTAGCCTATATGTGTTTACAAAAAGTTTTGAAAATTTTCTTTAATCCCCTCAAAGTTTTAGAAATTTTCATTAAGCCTCAAAATTTTTAATATCTTCAATTAAACCCTTTAAGATTTTTTGAAAATTTTCATTAAATCTCTCAATATTATTGAAAATTATAATTAGAACCCAAACTCTTTTGCTAAGTTCACCACGGTATTTAACATCTAAGATGAGCTTAGATTGATGCGGGTCAGTTCTAATGTTTTCTTCTCCATGTTGCAGACGAAAGCTGCGAAACCGGTAATCGGAAAATACTATCGGGAGCCGCAGAAGTCAGGGCCGATTCCAATTCACTTGCTAAAAATTCTAGTGTCGAGCCTTAGAGAAGATCATTATGTGAGCAACAGCGGAGATGTGATATTTTATGAGACGGATCCCAACATGTTTTGGATTCGCAGATCTGAATAATTTTAAGTACTTTAGAAAACATAGAGCTAAAACAAAGGGCCTTTATTCTTTTCGCTTAAAGGACTTTGTGATTTTTCCTCTTTTTTTTTTGGTCTTCAAATAATTAAAGTTCAAGTTTCAGTAATCTTACCAAAACACAAAAATGGTGACAATAGGACACCGAAATACATTTTTTTATTATATTATTTTATATAATGAAATTATTCCATTTTCGGATGTTTTATGAATGGATATTTATTCTATTTTTTTTAATTGAGTTGAAGGTGAGATGAATATATATTTTTCACACCAGCAACATAAATAATCCCAAGACCATTGGATTTCCATATAAATATATTCAACAAGCCCACCAATTAAATATATATATATATATATACATCCATACTTGAAATTGACTTAACTATCTATTTGATCATATCATTCATGGATTAACTTGGAACTTTTATCCGTATTAGCTGAAACCTTTTGTTCTGCTCACGTTTTGCTAGCTTTGCTTTTGGGTCTCCATTTTCTCATGTTCCATATAATATTGCTCCACCCAAACAGGGAACACTGCCGAACCATCAGTGTTATGATGAGATAGTTGCTGCTTGTCCTTCTCCAAAGACTGGACCCAGGAAACATCTGGCTCGTCTGAAGTTGACGACAGTGACTGTGTTGGATCTCTCAAATAGCTGCTACTACTTTGGAACGAAAAACATGAAGCTTGTGTTAGTTTATTTAGCTCTTGTCTATGTATACCCCAGTCTAGTTTTCCATCAGGTGAACCCCAATCCGAGAAGTTAGAAGGCACTGCACTTGGTGAAGAAAGCCCCGATTTGTGATTTAACGAAGTAAATTCCATAAAGCTTGACCTCCGGTTTGCAAAGGGAGCTGGACTTGGACTTAAAACTGGACTTGCAGTCGACCTAGATGGGTCGACCCCATAGGATTGAGATGCCCTCATGGAATGGGATGCTAGGTTGGCCATGTAGCTAACTCCAGTGGGAGACTGCAGCTGATGAGTTGAAGCATCGAGTGAGAATCCTCCGAACCAATTTGATTTACCATTTTCGTCTGCAGATGCAGAAAAGGTTGAAGTAGTGGACAAGGGATTGTTCCAATTGGTGGTGGAGGAAAGACCTAGTGTCTCATCAATTAGCTGCTGTGTTGTTCCATGTCCAAGTCCATATTCCGAACTTGTCGAGCAGTTCTCAGACTACTACCATGAAGCTCCAGTGACGATAAATTGTTAGACTGGTTAGGCCACATCACTCCAGCCATAGGTGAAGATATACTACCAGTACCAGTAGGGGTCAAGGGCCGTGTTGATGTTGAAGGTAACAAAACTGATGGGGAGCCAAGACCATGTAGGCTCATTGAACCCATGTCTAGAGAGGAACCCATAGCCGAATAAGATCTTGGGGAAGGCAGTGCTGAACCTGTTGAAGCATAAACAGGGCGAAGCTTTTCAGGCTTGTGAGCAAAGAAACAAATCTTCCTGTTTCAATCGGTCTCGTCCTTGCATAAACGAGTTCGATATTGGGCAGGATGAAGCCAACACTCGAAAATACCATGTGCATACTCACAATTATTGCCCTGCTTGCAGGAATCCTTACGAAATTCAAGGCAAGGAACGCAACTGTATAGGTATTTCCGAGGATCACATCTCCTCGCATTTTCCCCGGGATGAACAAAAGGGCACTCGGTCCAGTCATGAGAGTAAGCCCTTGAGCAAGGCGTGACTTTGAAGTTATACATCCTAAACTCATCTGTGCCATGTATCTCACTCCTAATGTCCGGAAGAGTAAAATCAATACTCTTTCTTTTCAGTTCCATCTTTCAAAACACACGGTCCATTGAATTACAACCCTCTATTTCTGCAGGCAAACCTTCTATTTCACCATCACATGTGCTTTCTTTCAACAAAGACTCCAAAATCTTCTTCCTCAAGCTGAAAGCTGAATTTCGATCCGAAGTAATCAAGTCAACAGGCCGGTTTCCATTAGCATCAAGAGAATTGATATCTGCAGCCGCATCAAGCAAGATTCTTACGACCTCAGCCGAACAAAATGATCCGCCAACAACAGCACAGTGAAGAGTAGTGGCACCATCGGAACCATGAGTTTGGTTAACATCGACACGACCGCTTTTGACAATATAATTCACCACGTCCTTGCTCCCGAAGAGAGAAGCAATCAATAGAGGTGTTCTTTCTTCAAACCCTATCTTCGTCGAACCAATTCTCCTTCCGTACCACAAGCTCGGCTCATCGATGTCATAACACCCTTCTTCAATAGCACTTTTGAAGCCAACAAGATCATTCGAAGCCGACAACTCCAATAAAAACGAGAACTTTTGAGGAAATTTGTCTACTTTTTGAGACCCGCCCTTCATCATGAATCCAATTTGAGTTAATTGCCTTTTTGAGTCACAGAAGATGGAAAATAAACTTACTTGTAGAATAAAGAGGAAAAAAAATATAGAGGGACTTGATGAAAAAATCCAGGCACTGAAATTGGTATAAAAAGGGGACAAACAAAGAGTAACATCCTCCACCACAATTCATGAAATTGACAGAAAAATGAATCAAAACGACATTCTATTTTTTCCTAAAGCAATTAATTTGACAGATAAAACACCAATTCTTAAAAATCACAACAATTAGACATGTAACAAATAACATTATCCAGAAAATAAATGACAGAACCATATAAGAAACAGAGAATCAGTTGTAGAAAAGGAAAAAAGAAAAACCCCAACAAAAATTATCTACACATGTTATATAGTCTGACGTAGGACTAACATAGGAAGTTAACTTTTGTAATAAAACAAACATTGTTATAAAACACCAAGATTACAAATAAATAAAAAGGAAAATAAAAGAGAAAACAACTTTTGTCAATATGCCACCAGGGCTCTTAGCAAAGCCCCTCATCATCCCCTTCAAAATGCAAATTTGAGAACAAGGCAAACCTAAAATTTGTCTTACACAAAAAATAATTACAAGTTTTATGTCTTTTTACCTTCAAAATATTAGAGATGTTTTAGATGGCTATCACTTTTATGTTTTTTTTTTTTTGGTGAATAAAAGAAAAAAATAGCTAGCACTTAGATGCTTGCTTCTAAGTTACAAGCAGTGGCCTCCTCTTGTATTAGATTAATAACCTCCAGCGGTGGACTGTGAAAAATCGACTGAGAGTAACCTCGGCCAGCAGCGATCCTCGCCAACTTGTCAGCTACCTTATTCGCCTCCCGATTTACATAACGTAAAGTAACATTCCATTCTCGATTTAATAACTCCAAAACTCGGTCAAGAAGAGATAAGAACGAACCTCTCTTGGTTTTCCTCTGTAGCATCTGAATAACCTCCACGCTATCGGCTTCTACCATGACTTGTCGTTCCCCACGGTTCCATGCATGAGAAAGACCTTCATAAATACCCCATAGTTCCGCCTCAACGATAGAACATATACCTATTACCTTAGAGAAGCCAACAAGCCAATCACCATTCGAGGATCGGAGAACACCCCCACAGGTCGCAAATCCGTTTCCAGCTTTACGGGACCCATCTGTATTCATCTTACACCAGTTCGGAGGCGGTGGAGACCAAAGAACAATCCTATTAACCTGCCGATAAGTCTGACTCCTCGACATAGTAGAAGCAAGTGCACGGTTAGCTTCGAAACAAAGACGCTTGCCTTGTTCCAAAACAGATTCATGTTCAATATAATCCGGTTCAAAAATCCTTTTATTGCGATTCTTCCATAACAAACAAAGGATCGAACCAAATAATAAGTCTCAATCTTGTTCATCTCGTGCATAAAATCGCAGAGAGACAATATTAATTTGCAACCAACTCCTTATGTCTCGTGAAAGAAAATCATGCAATTTATCATCTTTAACTAGCGAGGACCAGATTCCCATAGCCAAAAAGCAGTGGCGAAAAAGATGATCTATTGTTTCCCCCGGCTGCCCGCAAACTCCACAATAATTACTTGTAGCTAAGTGTCGTCTTACTCTCTCCGTATTGGTTAGAATCCTATCGTTAGCTAATAACCACAAAAAAAAATTAATTCTTTGCAAACCACCGTATTTTGAAATCACTTCCCATACCTTATGTGGCCTGTCATCCGAGCATTCCTGTCTCATATCATATGCCGACTTAACCGTAAACATCGGTCAAAATTCCACTTCCACCCCAGCACATCGAGTTTCCTGCACTGCCATGGGGGCATCGTTGCTGCCAGCCTCTGTATAATAGTGTTAGGTAATATATGATTGAATAATTCCCAGCGCTAAAGACCATTTGCGTCCACCATTGAAGCTACCGATCGACTTGGGAGTCTCTCTCTATCGGGTTGATTAGTAACAAAGCAATTCAAAGGACCCACATCACTAAGCCATGCGTCCCTCCAAAAGTCAACATTTCGGCCATCACCAATACTCTAAACCAGATTATGGCGTACATCACTCCATACTTGAGAAATTGCTTTCCAAACATGCAAGCAACCCTTACGCATAATGGAGTCGGGTAAACCACTTTGCCACTTGTATTTGGAACGTAGCACTTTAGCCCATAACTTGTCCGCCTTAGCAATCATATTAAACGCTAGTTTCATGAGGAAAACGTCATTTTGATCATATAATTTCTTTATGCCGATACCACCCTTGCTTGTAGGTTTACACATAGTCTCCCAATTGACAAGGGAAACTCCACCTCTAGCCTCAGTTCGACCCCAAATAAAGCCCTGAATTAATTTTTCTACTTCATCATATATCCCTTTTAGAAGCTTTATGGACTGCATTGAAAAATAAGAGATAGTCGAAAGAACTGTTTTAGCCAAAGTAATTCTGCCCGCCAAAGATAGTGCTTTAGCCTTCCATCCTACAAGTTTATCACGGACTCTCGAAACGATGTAACTAAAAGAAGCTCTTGTTATCCGAGAGTGTAGAAGGGGAACACCAAGATATTTTCCCAAATTATGGACCTCCTAGAAACCAAATTGAGAATTGATAGAACTCTTTAAGCCCGACTCCACATTCTTTGAATAAAATATAGTAGTCTTCTGGATGTTGATTTTCTGGCCTGAGAACCTACAGAAAAGATCCAATATATTTCGAATAACATAGCATTGTTCAATAGAAGCCTCAGCAAAGAGAACCAA